CTGTCCCCCCGGGGGTGCAGGGGCTGGGGTAGAGTGTCCGTGCAGGGGGATTGGAAGAGCTCCCCGTGGCCTCTTCCTCTCCTTCTTTGTAGACCTGGCTCCTGTCAGGCACTCTCCTCAGACCCCCGGGAACTTGGCCCCAGCCACCTGCCCTCTGCTGCATGCGCACAGCCTCCTGCTGGTATGTCAATATGCAAATTGGCCATTACTGTGACACAGTTAGGACCAATTAGCATATTATCTCTTTTTATGTATAGATTATATTATTTTCCATATTAACAACCGTAAACCTACTTTTGCTCACCTCTGTAATTAAAAAAATAACTCATCAAACAAGGCTGCTTCAATATTTAAAAATCAACTGATGAAATCCACCATATTAATAGGCTAAAGAAGGAAAGTCGTATGATCACATAGAGAAAGAGCTTTTTGCTATTTCCCACTTATAGTTAACGCAGCCAAACTCATCTTTCACACACTCCACAGTGGCCCTACTCAGTGGTGTGATGTTGTAGGCCATCGTCTGTACATTTTGGCCTAGGACACACAATTGGAATTTGACACTCTCCCTTTTCTGCAAGCAATCCCCTTTGTTGGCCATTCCAACTATGCCAAATGCATAGACCTTATCTTTCATATTCCTTTCCTCCATGATCTCAATTATTTCTTGGTACTCAGTCTGTGTTGGATCAACACCCCTCAAGGGGTTAATGACTTTATCAGAGTACATGATAGGATCAGCTTCTTCAGTAATGCCATTCACTGAGAGTGTTTTGTTGACTTTTTCTGCACTGACTTTGCTGCATTTGCCTTTGGGCAACTTGTACTCCTTCATGTCTCCCAGTTCCAGGCTACTGACATCACTAGAGAACTCACTGTAATGAAAAAAATTTTTTTATAGTGATTCGCTGTTTCAATAAATTCAAAATTATCCTTCAGAGTTGTTACATAACTGACGAGCCTTTTGGAGTTAGAATTATGACCTAAAAGTCACACACAGATTACAATCTACTGTCCGGGCTTGCTTGTCACTAATACTAAGTTCAACCTTATTTCCTATGTGAGGAGAAGTGGATCAGTGGCTTGAAAGAAATAGTCAATTTCACTCAACAATCGTCATAAATAACATCCTTAGCCTGTTTTTTGTTTGTTTATTTGTTGGTTTTTGCCTTTATTTGAGTTTAGTGGTTTTAGGATTTAAAAAAAAAAAAAAGTGACTTCTTTTTCTACAGTGCCCAGAAAACTATGATCTGAATAGAAGTGGAATAAAACTGTGCCCTTGGGATACTTTTTAATCCTAGCACCATGATTTCTTAGGGCAGAGAGCATATTAGGAAGTATAGTAAACTCGACTTCCTCTGCAATATGCATCTAGTTCACATGAAGAAATTCTCCATAGTGGAAGAAGATAGGAGCATCATTTGATGATGAATCCATACATTTGATGAAACCAAAACCATCTTGTATGATAGCAATTACACCCATTTTTCTGGTTTCATCACTGAACCAGGATGGACTTGATAGAAGTTCTCTGTTAGTTGCTCATTCTAATTTGTCACTTAGGTCTGTTGAAATATTAAGCTTAGCATGGTCACCTTCCAACAGGGTCACCTTGGATTTTGTATTTTTGTCTACAAAGGGAAGTTCTTTAGGAATCACAAAGTCTACTTCAATGTGTCCTGTCAATGGGTCATTCTGTTTTTTCCTGAGTGCTTTTGGGATAATTTTGGTTACAGTTCCTTCAAAATGTTCAAACCCGATATCTTCAAAAATGACTGTTCCTTGAGGCAATAGTCTGACATCTATTTCAACTTCTTTACCATTACTGTCCTTGTTATGAATTCCACATCGTCTCCAGGTTGTAAGGCTCCTAAGTCACCCTTAAATTCACTATAGTGAAAGAGTATTTCTTTTATAACATCACCTCTTTCACTAAAGACAAACACCTCCTTCATGGCACAAACTACTCCCTGACAGCAGGCTTGTTTGTTTTTCAACAGCATGTTTCAAGCACTTATAGCACCAGTATGTTTATTGTGATCAATTACAAAGTTTATTTTAACTCCAGTTTCCAGCTGGACATTTTCTTCCACATCTTCAGGACCTGTAAGTCAGATGAAACACTTCTTGTCCATTTATTCATTCTTCAAGGAGGATTTCTGCTTTTATCTTCACCAGTTTAACAGCAATGGGTTTCCGCTGGTCAGATGATACTTCAAATTCAACATTATCTCCTACTTTTAAGTCCTGCAGGTTTCCATTATGCTATGGAAAGTGGAAGAAAAGTGTAGCTTGACATTCTGAAGACTGAATAGACCCGTTAGAGGTTATCAGTTTTTCAATAACCCACTTTCACACAGTGCTGCTGAAGTATCATTGGGGTACCAATTGTGTCCATTGTTGTGGAGAAAATTTGGATCAAAGCTCATCTCTCAGTGATAATAAAATTATTGCACTTTCAATAGTAATTGCTGATTCTTCTTTTTCAACACATTCCAAAGTGTGAAAGTTGCTAGTATTAAAAAAAATGAGAGAAAATGGCCTAAAACTAATAAAGAATACAACTGCTGTTGCACTGGGCAGTCTCATAGTGCAGCACTGAAAACAACGAAGATGACTGACTAGCAGTGCTGGGAAGTGCTCGTTCAAAGTTTTTGAGTAGGCACAGACTTCTTATTTCAGATCAAGTGTTGTGTACTCTTCTTTGGTCTTATTGGTTGTTTCAAAGTTTGTTCCTTGCCTGGTCTAAACTTGAAGCAGTAGTTTCAGGTGGCAAAGTCTATTCTATTACACTTCATACCCAACAGCTCAGTGCCCCCTCCCCAGCAATGCCAGAAGCAGCACGCCTAGCACATAGAGTTTATTTTGTTTTTTATATTTTATGTATAAGTGAAATCATATGGAATTCTTCTTTCTCTGTTTGACTTAGCATTATACCCTTTAGGCCCATTCATATTGTGGCAAATGGCAAGGTTACCTTTCTTTTACTGGCGGAGTAATATTCCATTGTCTACATGTACCACTTCTTTATCCATTTTTCTATCAATGGACACTTAGGCTGCTTCCATATCTTGGCTATGGTAAATCATGCTGCAATGAACATAGGGATGCATATGTCTTTTTGAACTAGTGTTCAGGGTTTCTTTGGATAACACTCAGAAGTGGAATTGCTGGGTCCTTCTTTGTCTCCTATTATGGGCTTTTAAAAAAGTTTATTTTGCCTGATGTAAGTACTGCTGCCCTTAATTTCAGTTTCATTTGTTCTTATAGTTTCAGCAATAGCATGCTATTGAGGTGTGGATGTGTGTGTGTGTATGTGTGTGAGAGAGAAAGAGAGAGAGAGAGAGAGAGAGAGAGAGAGAGAGAGAGAGAGAGAGAGAGAGAGAATGAATACTAGGACATTTATTCCCATGTCTTTATAGTCTGATATTCCCCACCCCATGTTTGATAAGTTTGTTGTCTACTGAATTTTGCCCACAACTCTAACACTATATTTATCCTGTTGGAGCCTTTTGTTCAAAATGTTTTTCATAATATTGAAATATTATATTTAGAATAAATTAAGGAGTCACTCAGCATAACTTCTCTCTCTAAATTCATAAGTAATGACTCATGTACAAATTTAGAAAATAAGTAATTCCTGAGTGCCTAATCTGTACCAACCTTCTTGTAAACATTGAAGAATATGGGCTTTTGAGCCAACTTTTAGATATGGAAGATTAGAGAGAGAAAGAAAATTAAAGAGAAGCCAACAACAGAGAACTATAATGGAAATATAACTGAAATAAAGCAATAAGTATAATTAAAATTTTGGAGGAGTGTTCTAGGGCCAGAAACTAATAATGAGTACAGAGGTATTACAGCAAAGATTTTCAACTGCAAATGTGAGGAAAGAGTCTTTCAAAAGATTGCTGGCCAACTTTTGGCCTGGTCTTTGTTATGCAGTTCATTTATTCAGTCACAAGAGGGGGTTGGTTCATCTGCAAAAAACATTTCTTTCTGGGAGAAGGGCAGATAAATATGTTTTCCATTGACATTTTACAGGGAAAAAAAGGCATACTTTCTTCCTCGTCAGACAACTTGTACTTTATAATTTCTTATTGAGTATGTGTGGTCAAAGATTCAGGGGCCCTTAGACCAATAGCATAAGTCCTATACATGTACCTCCATAAATAACTTTCTCTCCACTTCTTCTCCTTGATTATCTTTTACTTTCCTTATTCTTTATATATGTTTTTCTTCCCTCCGATAACCTTTCTACAATCTCCACCTCCTCCACCATTTTTGCTTTTCCTCTTCTCTTTTCTTTCTGCCTCACCATCCCTGGTGCACAGCACCATAGCCTAGCATAGAGAAGATGAGTATTAAGGATATTTCTTTAAAGAGAAGAGGATGAGCACAATTCATGTAATCAGTTACTATATCAAGAGCAGATGCATTGAAAAGTGTCTACCTAGACAATAGTAGGTATCATGATTCCAGGAAACTCTATAGGAAACCTGAGCTCCCAAAGGTTTAGCTTTTAGCTTCAACGCTGTTAATTTTTCCTGTCCCTTTGAGCACATCACTGACTTCTTTTGAATCTCACATGCATCTTCTGGTATGTAGATAGAAATTTCATCTTCTTACAGCACAGAGCTCAGTACAATTTTCTGGGAATAAATGATACTTTGTATAAACTCCTTGGAGCATCAGCCAATTTCTTTGGTACATTGAGGAAGAAATTATGGAAAAAAGGTCCTGTATAGAAACATCCTCGTGATTTGTTTTCCTTATCTAGAGTCAAACTTTAAACCTCACAAATAATATTAGTGGGCACCCTGAGAGTTGGAGATATCTGGTTGACATTCTCCCCTTCTTCTTGGGGACATAGATAAAACAGGGGAGGAAGATCTAGAGAAGGAGCTGCTCTATCATTGGCTGACAAGATCCTGGCAACATCACAGTGGTAGCTGCAGTTGTAAGTCTTTACTAGTAGCTGTTGCTTCTCTTATCTGGAATCTCTTTAAGACTCAACTCAGACACAAAGACTGAACTTTGGCTCATGATCCCAGTCCTTCCTTGAAGTATGAGGCTGCTCACTGGAGTAACTGTGTTTCTGACCTTGGGTAAGTGTTCTGTGCCTACCAAAAGGGACCTTGAAGGGTTATTTGCTCTCTAGTTCTTTCCCAAACTAGAGTTGGAGCTGAGAACTGATCTATGCATTTGTCTAGGGAGAACAAACTTCTACATGACAAATTAAATCATAACCACGATCCCAGAAGGACTCTTAGCAGTATCCAGATTGTAAGAAATTTCTGGGTTTATTGAGCCAAGGACCCATGGGATAGAGTCTATGGAGTCTCTGATTTTTGGCATGTACCTTTGGTCTCCATAACACTAATAATATGTTTTGCATTCTAGAAGGACATAAATAAAAACACTATAGTATGGGGTAGAGCCAAAGAGTTATGGGACTGTTGTGTCCTTGATCTATAGATGCTAATTTGAATTTCTTAACCCTTTAGGGGCTGTGATTGATGCTAAGATCACCCAGCCCAACTCCATGGATTATGCTGAAGGAAAAGATGTGAACCTGCCTTGTAACCACTCTACCATCGGTGGAAGTGACTATATACATTGGTATCGGCAAAATCCCAACCAAAGGCCACAGTATATAATTCATGGCTTACGAAACACCGTGACTAACAACATGGCCTCTCTCATCATCACAGAAGACAGAAAATCCAGCACCTTGATCCTGCCCCGGGTTACCTTGAGAGACTCTGCTGTGTACTACTGTGCTGTGAGAGACACAGTGGGACAGATGGGGCTGCACCTGTGCAATATCTCCCTGGCAAAAGAAGGTGGGGGAGGCAGCAGCTATTCAGAGCAAATCTAGAGCCATCTAGCAGCGTCAGAGAGCAATATGAAAGGAGGAAAATGAAGGGAAGGAAGCAGGAGAACATTAATAAGGAAAACAAGAGAGACAGGGTAAAGAGAGGACAAGGAATAAACACTTAATTTGTTGATGTAGCTGAGAAGTATGAGGAAACTAAGAATTATAAGGTTCAAGTAGCAATAAAGTAAAGCGGTATTAAGAATTTGTTATGGCTTCTCTGCATGTCAATAAAATGTTGGTTTCAGTATTTTAGCCTAAAAAAAAATATAAAGGAAAAGAAAAATAATTATACTTGTCTCAAGGGTGCCTTTTATTTGGATGCAGAGATAAGTCCAAGTTTGGAAATGCATGCTACTATAGCTGTTCCGCTTATCAGAAACAAATTACTCTTTCTCTAAGAGAAATCTGAAATGTTATTTTTGTTGTTGCTAGTCTAGAGCATGTGTATTTGTGATAAAGAAGTTCTTTTGGAAAGAAACAACAATTAAATTAATATTAATTTATTTTTAAATGTCTAGAAGTCCTGCATCTAAAAAAGAATTTTCATAACATTTTGATATTCCATAAAAGATTCAAGCAGAGCTAAAGTAAAAGCCTAGTTATATCTCCTTCATTTCACTGCAGCTTCCACTGTCCTTCTCAGAGTTTAAGATTATTTAAAGTATCATGCCAGACTGATTTCTTTCAAATAAATAATTTCATGCAACTACATGCATATTTACACCCACATACAACTTATACACCCACATACAACTTATCATTTAAATTGGATTTACTTGAGTTTTTTGCAACTTACCTTCTGTGTGTTTTTTTTAAAATACTGCCCTAGAGATTTTTCTACAGTAGAAAAAAAAAAGTGTAGAAGTCTATTTCCTTCTTTTTTATGGCTCTATAGTACTTTGAAAATTCCATCATTTAATTAATTACTTTCTTATTTATGGATATCTGTTTCTATTTCTTTGCTGTCACAAAGAACTTTCTCATACATCTTTGTATATTAATTTTTGTATGTATGTGGAATTATATATTTTAATGAGATTTCTGAAACTGAAATTGGTAAGTCAAAGAAAGGCACATTTAAATTTTTTGGAGAAAATTACAATTTGTCCTCCATATGGTATAAACAATTATACTCCAACTTTCAGTGGGTGAGAAGGCTTATTTTACAAATTGGGAATTACAAGTATTTTTTTACTTTAACAACCTAAATATACTTTATCTATTTGCATTTTCCTGATTCCTAGTGCTTTTTGAATTTTTTTTCTCTCCATATATTGGCACTCTATCATTTGCTCTTGGCCAATGCTTATACCTACTTTTTGATCATTTTTCTATTGGATTTTTTTGTAGAAATTATTTCTATATCTTGGAGGGTATTTTGTTTGATTATTTTATTCTAACATGCTAGTTTCTATTTTGTTTATTGTTAAATGTAGTGGTTTTTAATTTTCACATCATCTAATCTATCAAGTATTTATTTCTTTTTGTCTTCAAAGGTCAGTGTCATTTCAGGAAAGCCCTAAATGTATTATATCTTTTCATCTTCATTACCATTTAATGAGTTAAGAATTACTTTGAGATCTGTGTTGCTTATTAGAAATCCAAGCCTCAAAGGGATTGAAAAACTTGCCTACATCACAGTCTTAATAAGTGTTATCATCAACTTTTTCATTTATTTTTAAACCTGAGGTTGTCAAGCTTCAAAATCTGAACATATGTTGTTTAATCTTGCCTTACTTGAAGCAATAGTATGAAGAAACCTTTTGGTATAATGAACCAAGTGGAAAGTCAGTGGAATGAATCATAGTACCCATCCCAGAAGGTGGCACGTATTTTAAAGCAAAATGTCAAAATATTAGAGTAGGAATCCTGAGGTATGAGTTGAGAAAAGCAATGGTTCCTTATCCTACTAAAAGATAGTGTTAACCTCCTAAATATTCAAATAGCAGCATAAATAAATGTTCTTAATTATAGAGAGATTTTGAAGCATCCGTAGCTCCTTTTTAGCTATACATTTTCGGAAGCAGAACTGATATAGGAGAAATTAGTACACAAGGCAGAGAAAATAGGAGAGAGGAGTTCTGATCTTTGGTGTGAATGGCATTCAAGATATTCTTGGATCTTCAAAAAGGCTGAGAAATTTGTCCTAGTACATAGGATGTGTACATATTGATTAAAAACAAAAAGATCTTCAAATAATAAAACAAGCAAACTGACAGAAAAATGTAAAAGTCTTAAGCAGGTACTTTACAAAAGAAGATATTCAAATGTAAAATAAACATGCCATTTCTATAAAGTAAAAAAAAGCAGACATAAGTAATCTATATTGTTAGAAGTCAGAATCGTGTTAACTATGGGACAGAATCATAAAGGTCATAAAGGGAACTCTGAAGTGTTGGTGATGTTTTGTTTCTTAATCTGGATGCTGATTATAAGGGTGTCAATATTTTGAAAATTTATCAAGCTGCACATGTATAATATATTTATACTTTCTTTTATGTATCTTATACTTCAATAAAAAGTTTAATATGCTACAATGGCCTCATTAATTACTAGGTGATGTGTGAGCATAAAATAAAATTTCAGATGTTTTAATTTTTCATTTTTGTACCTAAAATATATAAGTAAGTACACATTTGTTAAATAAACATGACTTTAGACCGTGACTAAATCTGACTCTTTATTAAAATACCATAAATGAGAAATGTCTTTTTTTCCTCTGTCTGGGATACAAATGTAGGACTTTTGACTCTTGATATGTAGTATCAAGATGCCTAGCTATTGTACTCTATTTTTTAATATTTTATTTTATTTTTTACAGAGAGGAAGGGAGAGGGATAGAGAGTCAGAAACATCAATAAGAGAGAAACATTGATCAGCTGCCTCCTGCACACCCCCAATGGGGGATGTGCCCGCAACCAAGGTACATGCCCTTGACCAGAATCGAACCTGGGACCTTTCAGTCTACAGGCCGACGCTCTAGCAACTGAGCCAAACCAGTTAGGGCACTATTGTACTCTTGAAACCTATATAATTTTATTCTCCAATGTAACCCCAATAAATTCAATTGAAAATCATTATATAGTGAAAACAAACAAACAAAAGAAGCCTATCTGTTAACATTTTGAATTATTAGAAAAAGTGGAAAAGTCTATTGAATAGGAAAGGATGATAAATTGCTTAGGACACTTACATCTTTACTGATTGTATAAAGATGTAATAATTCAGTGAAATAGTTTCTATTCATGAAAAATAATCCGCCAGCCATTGTAGGTGAGTTTATTGGTGCAGTAGCTCCTCTGGTCCTCTGAGCTCAGAAAAGAGAACAAGATCCTATATGAAGTGCAGCCCCTGATGAATCCTCCCCACCCCACAGGGGATGAGCTGTAGATAAGCATGTCTGCACTGAAATCGATCACCCAAGTATATGGTGACCCCAAACCTGCAAAAGTCTGGGAAAGGTATGTATTTTTATCTAAGAGCTTTGACAACTACAGGAATATCATGGTTCTGTAAGTCAGAAGTAAATTCACTATTTGTAGGTGATGAATAGTACTTGTTATAACTTTAAACATTAAAGAGTCCCATTGCATTGTGTCATATTATGTGGTCAATAAGAATTGCTAGCCAATATCTTTGCCATAATTAACATTACCCCAGAATTGAGTGCATGGTTCAAGTTTGCTGTAATAGTTTAAGAGGTTCATCCAGTCTTTGGATTTGACAGGGCAATTAAGTGGAAGAGAGAGGGGAATGTGTTGATTGATGGCATTTATAAAAGAACTTTGGAATTGTTGTCTTTAGACACCATATCAGATAAGGAAGCAAGAGAAGATAAGAGAGAAAATATGTTTTAAAAAAGCAGAGGGATCAAATACTAAATTATCAATCAATAGGAGAGCAAGAAATAAGATTCATAGTCAACCTAAATAAACATTCAAAAGTCTCCCAGCCTCCATTGCAGAGACCTACGCAATTATTTACGAGCAATGAGTGCAGTGATCTAGGGCTTCCGGGATGGTGCTTTGGGTGTGTCCTCTGCCACAGGGCTTTGAATGTGAGATAGGGATACTTTTTACTACAGCTTGTTGATATAAAAAATGTCCAAACCTGTAAAAAGATTTTTATAAGAATTTATTTGAGCCAAACAGAGGATATGCCTACAGGCAAGATCTCAACAGACTAAGATACAGTCAAACTTTGGTTCTCAAACATCTTCCATCTTGAACAATTCAGTTCTCAAACAAGTTGTTCACAGAAAAAAATGTCTCAGTTATTGAAACAAAATTTTAGTTCTCAACCTAACAACCCTTTCATACTGATACATCAGCATGACAAAAAGCAGCTCTCAGGCCACAAACAAAGAAGAGATTGCAAGTCAGTTTTCCACTAAGCCTCATGTTGTTAACATCTCAGAAAATTGTGCTGTGAATATTTTGTGTGTGTTATGTGTGTTTTGCTTTTGTTGTTGGCAAAATGGACAATTAGCACAATTTTAAAACATATAGAGACCATCAAGAGTTACTAAGGGTGCGAAAGAAACAATAATCACAGGCAATTGAAGAGCTAGAAAAACAGTTGGTTTGGGTAAATGAAAAGCATTTTTGAGGCAATAATAAGTGAAAAAGCGAAGATGCTGCATACTGACTTCCTGAAAGATACCCCTGGAATGAGTGCTAAAAGCCATTTGCTTAAGACTAGTAGGGGATGATTCTACAAATTTAAGAAAAGAAGTGTTTGTTTGTAGATTAAACAGTACATTAGACATGTACTGTATATAAGAAACGTTAAAACAGGGAATCATTTGGGGATCTGGAATAAATTCATTCAATTTATATTATTTCTAATGGGAAAAAATGATTCGGTTTTCAAACAAATTGCTTCTCAAACAGCCTTCCAGAACAAATTAAGTTTGAGAACTGAGATTCTACTGTAAATACTGCCAAGAAATAACCATTTGCAGTTTCTTCTGTGCATTTGGGAGTAAGGAGATAATGTAAGAGAGATTGCATGGAGGTGGGAGAAAGCCCAGGATCAGATTACAGGATAGTTAACAATACTGTGTACTCTTATGAGGGTGGTTATGCCTATTTCAAGCGTGTTAACTTCAGCGGTTCTCAACCTGTGGGTCTCGACCCCTTTGGAGGTTGAACGACCCTTTCACAGGGGTCGCCTAAGACCATCGGAAAACACATATATAACTACGTATTGTTTTTGTGATTAATCACTATGCTTTAATTATGTTCAATTTGTAACATTGAAATTGGGGGTCACCACAACATGAGGAACTGTATTAAAGTGTTGCGGTATTAGGAAGGTTGAGAACCACTGACTTAGATGCACAAAAACAATGGACAGAGCTTGCTAAAGGCAAATATAAGCCTTTTACTAAAGAAGTTATATGCCTGGGATGTGTCTATCCACCATGACCTGCCCAACTAGGAATTTATGATCAGATCACCATATGAGGTTAGTTTTGGTAAAACCCCGTTTTTGTGTACACATTTTTATTTATAAATGGCACAGGGGAGCTTGTAATGTAATGTGTTGTAATGAAAGGGGAAATAAGACATTTTGGGGGGCTAGCTATTTGAATTTGTACCAGTAACCTGCATTCTGACGCACACTCTTGCTTGCCAATAAACTCATTCTTATCTGTAATGTCTGTCCTGCCTTGCAGAACCTGTTTCCCAGAATACTCCCATTTTACAGAGGCCAGAAACCATGAACCATATACAACCCCCTGAGGGGCTTGGCAGCACTGGTGCCAGACAGGCCTTTGGGTGTAATCTCACTTCCCCCATCCCAACTCACGGGGGGCTGCAAAGCCTGTGAAAAGTCCAAAAGCCTGATCCATATCTGGGGACAAAGGAACTCAGGGTATAAAGGGAAAGCTTTGTCCACATTCATCATTCAGGATTTGGAGACTGACTCCCCTGAGTCACGGCACTAGTACATCTGCAAATAATGACTACTTCTCTGAATATCCTCTGAGTGCCCAGCTGAT